TCTTGTCCGCATGTTTCTGCTGTTGCTGCACTAATCAAAGCTATACATCCTGATTGGAGTAGTGCTGCAATAAGATCTGCTATCATGACCACAGGTACATTGCTCTGTCTATCTTTGATGCTTGTGAATATGCAGAAATTTACTCTTGAATAGTATTATAAATGCCGCTCATTCTAGTATCCTTTGTCGCCCTTGACAGTCCTTTCTCAAACTAATTTGTTAATCTTGAGAATTTTAAATTTTTATTATAACTTCCAACCATAACCATAAAGTTAGACACCTATACATTCAAAAAGATTAATGAAGCATCATATATTACTCATTAAAAAAAAAAAAAAAAAACTTAAATTGATGAGAATTTGGATGACCTGACATGTTCGTAACGATAAGTATGCGATAACACTATCTTACTAATTTTTCTTTGGTTTTGCCAATTTGTCTTCATCCATTTTCTGCAGCTAGAACAACGAACAACGTTGGAAATCCAATAACTGATGCCCGTGGCAACGTAGCAAATCCCTTTCACTATGGATCTGGCCACTTTCAGCCATCAAAAGCTGCAGATCCTGGACTTGTTTATAATGCTACTTACAACGACTATCTTCTCTTCCTTTGCTACGCTAGGAGTCGTCTTGTTTCCAACTGCCCAAATGTCGTGCCTTCACCAAGCAATCTTAACTATCCCTCGCTTGCAATTGCAAACCTAAACAGACCCATAACAGTGAGGAGAAGTGTTACTAATGTCGGTGCAGCCAACAGCACATATCAAGTGAAAATCGAACAGCCTTTGGGATACTCAGTTAACATATTTCCATCAACTCTACGCTTCAGTCAGATTGGAGAAATTAAAAGCTTCAACATTACAGTTCAAGCAACAAACACAGCACAGAGAAATGTGTTCACATTTGGTTCGTTTACTTGGAGTGATGGAGTCCACCTAGTCAGAAGCCCCATTGCCGTATCATCATCTTAGTGATCTTTGGCCATTCATGCAGTCACCAGCTCCATGGGACTTTGATATATCTATCAGCGGTTTTTTTTTTTTGTGTCTTGAAAAATAATACTCCGGTTTTATCATTACCGGTGGTGTATCACTTCCCATGTGGAGTGATAATGTGAATTTTAGTTTTCTTTCTCACTTTTTATGGAGTAATGATGATGTGGAAATTGTTACAGTAAACAAATAGTACTTGGATCAAATTTATAACAGTGTCGGACCCATAAGGCGATCGTTAAAATATATTTCATGTGTTATATTTTTAGAAATATAAAATTAATTAGGGAAGATAAATAAAAACAAAGAAGACAAGATTAAATAGGGAAAGTATATAAATACAAGAGAAAATAATATAATTGTTAATACGTGTATATATATAATAGATTATGTGAATGTTAGGTGTGTTAACGAATGTTCTAAGGACACCCGTTTGAAAAACCCAATTTATACTGCTTAATTATTTTTTCCAGTCTTACCTCATACACTTCTTATATAACCCCAGTTAAGCTTTGACGTTTGCAAATTTCTAAATTCATGACTTGTTACAAAGTTGGCGTATTTCTGTTCTGGCTTGCGGTTAGTTTATTCTGGAACTAGTTCTGTTTACTTTCTGCTAAGGGCCAAATCAAAATGAATGTCCAAAGTCCCAAACTTCAGCTAATGGCCAGCTATGTATATTGGGGAAAAAAAAGGACAGAGAAACATTTCAATGGCCAGCTAATGGCAAATTTTTTACTCTTTTTTGACAAAATTTTTTGACTTTTTTTTTTGCATGGCATTCATCAAATAATCCAATTGAATAACGACTTGACTACTTTATTGAGTAAAACTTCCAAAACGGTGACGTGCATATATGCTTTTTGTACTTTTAAAAATGCAACAATAGAATTGTTGTGGCAGTCAATGGACCTAAAAGGTGATGTGACAATGGGTTGATACAATACTAGTACGTAACCAAGAAGTGCAGCACCTTCAAGTTGTGCTTTGAAGATGAAGTTGCAAGGGTAATGATGATTGTGTGCTGTGATTTTCATTTCATATTTTCACCCCTGTACAAAATGAGGATGTGGAGAATATGCACAATGCAATTTAGACAAGTAAAATTGATTTAGGAGTCAGTTGTGGAATTTGGGACATAGGTTTAGGGGATTTGGTGATGTGGTGGATGTCTTAAGAGGCAAATTTTGTTTTTTATTTGTTTTCACCGACTTGCCACCAAGTTAGCAATTTGGGCGTTAATTGGATGTGTATATGGCACATAAAGAGAGGTTTACTCCTAGTACAGAAATTTTAAGGGATAGTTTCAAAAACTTCCCCCGAGATTTCTTATAATATCACTCAGTTCTTTTGAGATTTTTAAAATCTCACTTATCTCTCTTAGATTGACATTTTTTGTAACATTTTAACCCCTTTGGAGAAAATACAAGAAAGATAAAAAATGTGTTCGAATACTGCCCTTATATTATCCTACTTATGAAATTTATAACCACAATAAAAATAAAAGGGTAAAAAACAAAAAAGTCCCCTGTGGTAAGTCTAATACATAGAAAAACTTCTTATGGTTTCAAAATATACAATACGACACCTCATGCTTTAAACTAAATTGTAAAGGTGACGGAATCTATTAAACTTAACGGAAATGACTTATTGGAATCTAAAAAAAAAATTTATATCTAATTTTTATCAAATAGACCTATTCAACCCCTGAACTCTCAATTCTCTCTATTTAGAAAATAAAACAAATGATTTTTTTGAGCTGTTTTTTGCTTAATTATATCAGGATATTTTGGTTATTTCATCCATTTCCATTAAGTTTAACAGATTCCGTTACCTTTACAATTTAGTTTAAAGTATAAGGGGTCGTGTTATATATCTTGAAACCATGGGGGGCTTTTCTGTGTATTAGATTTATCATAGGGGGTTTTTTTATTTTTTACCCAAAATAAAATAAGGTTAAATTCTTATAAGGTGTAAATTTCTTGATGTAAACTGTTTATTTTAATTGTATTGGAACAAAAGCAAAATTTACACCTTGAAAAATTCACATGTATGAAGAGATTATTTGAGTTTTCAACACAACTTAAACTACACCATGAATTAAAATATATTTTCCCAAAAAATATCTTGACTTTCTTAATTGTAACTATGCACGAAATTTTTTTAAGGTGTTAATTACTCTCTAAAATCCTCTTAAGTGGTTGATTTTGATTAGATTTAATTTATTCACGTCCTTTGCAATTCCACCATGACTCCAATGTAAAAAAATATGGATCATTATTAGTTAACAATTTCTTTTTTTAATTTACATTTTTTGCTTTTAAAATTTTATTTTGTTTCGGCTTTTTGGTTAAATAGTTATTAAGAGCAAGGATAATGTTGTCAAATTGTGACCATTGATAAGAATATTTAATCTTGTCAAGTTAACAAGAGAGGTAAGTGAGATTGTAAAAACTTGAGAGGAGTTGAGTGATATTATGACAAACTTGAGGGGAGTTTTTTTTATCCCATATTTTAATCTTATCCATCCATTTGATTGATGGGGTAATGGTTTCTGTTGAATGGTTGGTATGACATGCGAGACTAAACCTTTCATTGACATTTTCATTCGCTCCTAGATTAAAAAAAAAAAAATTCCCACTCCAGTCAAAAAAAGCCCTTTGCATCAAATTATTTTGCAATGAGATGAAACTTTTGAAACAGTTACATAGACACTTCCGCAAGGTGAATAATAATAAGTTGAGTTCTCAAATGGTGTGAATCAAATTTCAGATACACCAAAGCAAACAGGAAAAATTAGAATATTTTACAGTAAACGTTTTTACATGCTAAAAAAGTATGATTTAAGCACCTAATACACAAGATCAGAAAACAACATATCGCCCGAATCCTTTCAGCTAACCTACACACAGACTCCATTGATGATCATGTTCTCTGGTCTGCAAAGAACCACAGCTAATTAAGATATGTCTATAATGGATGACAAGCAAATAAGAAAAGGAGATGCAAACCATAAACTGTGGCCAGAAGCACTATATATATATGTCAAATGCAAAATTACTAACAATAGAACCTCTAGTTCATGTGTTTGCGATTCTTTTTTCTCTTGTGAAGCTACATTTCTACTATCAATAAAAGCTATACATGTGCATTAAAAAAACAACAGAACCTTTAAAGGGCTAAGTACTCATTAGTAAGCAAGAAAAAAAAATTACAATCATGATGTTATTCCTCATGGCTCCAAGTTACAAGAAATATAACAATTCTAAAGGTTTATTTTTTCGACACAGAGGCATTCAGACTTTCGGCCCGACTAATCCCCTACGGTCCGAGAGGAGAGGTCCATTCCTCTCAAACATGTTAACCCGGGACTCGATCCTTGGTGGTCATATCCTAAAGAGGAGCAACACACCACACAAGCTACCCCGGGTTGGGCATTCTAAAGGTTTCTCTTGACAAATTATAAATTTTCAATACCATTTTGAGAAAGTGAAGCAGATGCTTAATATGTATGCTTTTTAAGACGAAATTATATGCATTGTATCATTTTAGGTTCTCACATTCGAGGAAAAGGGTTTACACTTTAGTTTCAACTCCTAATGAAGGGCTGAAAATGGAAATGAGTACAACATTGCTAACGCAAGAGCAATACACCGGAATTTTTGTTATTTAGAGAACAGCGCACGTCAACATGAATGTATGGACTACCGGTAGGTATTTGCACGCCATACCTCGAACAGTACCATCAGCTCAATCGATGATTATGGCCTTATTTGGCAGATAAGTTTTTTTGTCAAGTTTGTCTGCTACAAGTTTTTTAAAAACTTTAGCTACAGTAACTTCAAAAATTTTGTCAAAATTTTTAAACTATACACTTCAAAATATTCAAAAATAATACACTCCAAAAATTTTTTTAAAAACTTCTACAGTAAAATTTTAGACAAACACCAAAAAAATTCACTTGTCAAATGAGCCTTTAATAGAAGTTTAGAATGAAAACGCATAGATGAGATACTATGGCCTTCAAGCATTTGGAGACATTTGGCTTGATGATCCCGCAACTGATAGGAGTAAGATACTTCTACCAAAAAAAAAAAAAGAAAAAAGATAGGAGTAAGACACGAAATAGAGATCAGAATTGTATATAAATTCAAACTATTTAGCAGATCATGAGTATATGAGGATATGAAAAGCAAACCTTAATAGTGGGATCATCGGGATCCAACGATTAGTTAAACCTATTTCCACCAAGATTGGAACAATTAAACAAACGCAAATTCCAAAAAAAAAAAAAGAAAAAGAAAGATACAACCCTATTGATGTCTTATCATACATATGTAATAATGCTAATACCGAAAAAGGAACATTTGATTTTTGAATCAAAGAACTTAAATAACAAAAGACAAACTTTAATAAATCTAATCAAGGAACATAAGAGGGAGGAGGGCAGCAAAATATGCATACCTTCTTGAATGGTTGAAGCGGAAACGACAAGGAAAGAAAGAGGAAGAGGAACAACGACATATGGTATGAACCATAACTTGATGAACCAACGATGTTTTTTATTAACAACCCCCATTATTATAATTACCTCAAAAATCTGCTCAACAAATGTTGCAGAAGGGGAAAAGTTTTGCAGTTACACTTCAAAGATTCTTTCCAAGAGATTCCTTGTCTCTGATGCATTACTTTTGTCTTAAAGATATCATAATTGCTCAATCTAATTATCCCGCTCTTTGCATGAGTTCAATTGCACATGTGGAATTTCAAAAGAGAAAAACATTTGCAGTTACACTTCCGCCATCAATTAGTCAATTAATCATCAATTTAATCAGCCCGGCTCTTTGCACAAGCTCAATTGCTTGACTCCACCGTGAGCAATTTGCGCTCAAACTATTTAATAAGTATTTACATGTTAAGCATTTGGACCCGTTAGTATAAAACATATACTACACTAACAATATATAAGAGATTTGCTCAGTGAAAATTACATTTACAGTGCATACCATATGTTTATAAAAGTAAAAACATGGTCTAGTTTTAGTAAAGCGATTAATAGTTAGAATTGATTTCACATATGTTGTTAATTATATATAAGGTTAGATGCATGATGCATATGTAAAATTTGGATTTCAAATTCAAATTAATATTAGTTGTCATATATTCAACAATGATAATATATATAGCATTAGTATACAAAAGATTAATCCTATTAATTATGCTGACTAAGGCACAATTAGATGTGTCCAACTAACTAAAAGGTAAAAACATTTGTTTTCAAAAATTGAAGTATTAGAAAACAAGGAAAAGATTGTATGGGCTCAGGAAAGAGAAAAGTTGTGCCCATTATTTTATCACACACTTTAATCTTTCTGTCTTAAATTGTGATGAAGTGTTAACAATGTATACTTGTGACTTGTGAGAAGTGTAATAAATAGTGATTAATATGGAAAAGTGGTCCGTAAATATGAAGAAGTTTAGAACATAAGTACAAGAAGACAAGAAGTTACAGCGGATTTTTTTTTTTTTTTTTTACATTTTGTAGATAAAGGGACCAATATACCCTTTATAGCAGGGTTAAAATGACAAAAACGTTGCATCAAGTAAGACTCGGTAGTTTCCCAATAACCATGGGGTTAATTAATATGTGTTGATTACTTTGCAAAATTAAATTGAGATATTTTTAGTAAAAATTAGCACAGTTCATGAACTCCGGAGTCTTATCCGGAGAGAAAGACTTTCAGTTATTTTTTTGATAGAAACTAAGTGCTCTAGTAGTTTCGTGGAGAAACTGAAGCAACAATTTGGATGGTTTGGTATTGGTGTGGATGCGCAGGGCACCTCTGGTGGGTTAGCTCTCCTGTGGAAAAAAGATCTTGACATATCATTGAACCGATTCGCAAGTAATTTTATTGATGCCAATGTTCATATGCCAAATTACACATGGCGTTTAACTGGCTTCTATGGACACCCTGATGCTTCAAAGCGAAAATATTCCTGGGACTCTCTTTGCCAACTAAGCTCCCAATCTCGGCTCCCTTGGCTTTGTATTGGTGATTATAATGAGGTCCTCAACCAAAGCGAATTTGAAGGTTCTGGTCCACGAAATAACTGGCAAATCATGAATTTTCGTCAGGCCTTGATGGATAGTAATCTGCATGATGTGGGCTATGAAGGTTTCACTTATACATGGTGCCATAGTCGGACATATCCAAAGACAATTAAAGCGAGACTGATCGCGCTTGTGCAAATCAAGATTTTGTGAACTTATTCCCTGATTCAAAACTCAAGCATGTGCACTCTATATTCTCTGATCATTTGCCTCTAGTTTTTAGTTTCGAGAACTTCTTTAAATCTTCAAAGACTACAAATGAGGCGAAGAGACATAGACGTTTTAGGTTCGAAGCCATGTGGATAAAGGCGGATGATTGTGAAAACGTAATTCGTCAATCTTCGGAGAGTACATCTGCGGATAATGCTTGTGTTAATTTGTTCAAGAAAACGGATAAATGTCGAATGGGCCTTTTACAATGGAGCAAATCAAAATTTGGTAATGTTTGTTCTGCAGCAGACGACCTAAGGAAAAAGATTGCTAAGCTGCAGCAGGGGACTCTCTCTGATGCTGTTAATTCTCATATTGGGACTTTAACAAGTCAATTAGAGGCCATTTTGGATCGGGAAAATACTATGTGGAAGCAAAGGAGCAAAACTCACTGGTATCGGGAGGGGGATCGGAATACAGCTTTTTTCCATGCACAGGCATCCAAGCGAAGGAAGCAAAATCAGATAAATGGCCTCTTCAATGATGCGGGGCAGTGGTGTAACTCCCATGATGATCTGGAGCACATTATCTTAGACCATTTTGGATCTATTTTTTCTAGTTCAAAGCCATCTCCTGAGATAATTGATGCAGTTTTGCAAAGGGTGCACCCCAAGGTATCTAGACGAATTAATGATTCGCTTCTGCGAACTTACTCAACCTCTGAGGTAACACAAGCTTTAAATCAAATGCATCCTTTTAAATCTCCCGGTCCTGATGGCATGTCCCCAATATTTTATCAGAAATTTTGGCATATTGTTAGTCAGGATGTAGTGAAATGTGTTCTTGAATTCCTGAACAACGGGCATTTTGATAATCAATTGAATTTCACTTACATTGTGCTTATCCCAAAATGCCAATGCCCATCCAATATCACTCAGTTTCGTCCGATTAGTCTATGTAATGTAATTTATAGATTAGCTTCTAAGGTTATAGCCAATAGATTAAATACAGTTCTTTCAGTAATTCTCTCACCCTTTCAGTCTGCTTTTCTTCCTGGTCGTCTTATTACAGATAATATCCTGATTGCTTACGAAGTTAACCACTCTCTTAAATCAAAGTCGGCAGGCAGGGAGGGATCCATGTCTATTAAATTAGACATGAGCAAAGCATTTGATAGGGTTGAGTGGCCTTTTCTGAAAGGAATGATGTTGGCTTTAGGTTTTCATCCTTTGTTTGTTGATCTTATTTCCAGTTGTTTCTCTACTGTTTCTTATTCTTTTCAGCTGAATGGTGTTCAATTTGGTTATTTACGACCACAGCGGGGCATTAGACAAGGCGATCCAATTTCTCCGTATTTATTTCTTATATGTGCAGAGGCTTTTTCCTGTCTATTGCAAGAAGCAGAGGCTTGTGGTAAATTGTCAGGAGTACGAATAGGTCAGAGTGGCCATAAGCTTCTCATTTATTATTTGCAGACGATACTTTGTTATTTGGCAAAGCGACCCTACAGGAAGCTCGACATATTCAGGATATCTTGCAACTATATAAGGAAGCTTCTGGGCAAGAGATAAATCTTGAGAAATCAGCTGTGGTTTTCAGTAGTAACACAGATTTCTCAACCCGACAAGATATCACTCAGTTTCTAAATATTAAAGAAGTGGTTGCACATGAAAAATATCTTGGTCTTCCCACCATTATTCGACGCTCCAAGCGTGAGGTATTCTCTTCTATCAAGGATAGAATTTGGCAACGAATTCAAGGATGGAATGAACAATGGTTATCAAAAGGGGGAAAGGAAGTGTTGTTGAAAGCAGTTGTTCAGGCAATTCCCACATATTCGATGTCTTGTTTCAAATTTCCAGATTCTTTGCTAATGGATATCCAATCAATGATGAGCAATTTTTGGTGGGGTGATGGAAATAAGGCTAGGCCGATTCACTGGGTTAGTTGGGATAAACTTTGCAACCGAAAGGAAGATGGAGGAATGGGCTTTAGGCAGCTTAAGACTTTTAATCTCGCATTGTTATCTAAGCAAGCATGGCGTATTGCTACACAACCATCTAGCCTTCTTCATCGGGTATATAAAGCTAAATACTTTCCCAATACTGATTTCTTCCAAGCTCAGGAAGGATCGCGGCCTTCCTGGTCTTGGCGCGGACTATGTGAGGTCAGGAAGTATATTGAGGCAGGAAGCAGATGGCGAGTTGGTTCTGGCCAGTCTATCAAAATCTGGTCAGATAGGTGGCTTCCACGGCCATTTACTTTTAAGATCGTGTCGCGGTCTACTGCATTGCCCGAGAATTCCACAGTTGATTCCCTAATAGACTGGGAGCGAAAGACTTGGCGAGTTGACTTATTGCAGGAAATTTTTTGGCCTGAGGAGACTGAATTAATTCAAAGCATCCCAATTGGAGACTCTCACAATAGGGATAAGCTCATCTGGCACTTTTTAAAGAATGGATCTTTTACTGTGAAGAGTGCATATCACTTGATCAAGCAGCGATCTTCTAATTGGGAGAATTTGCCATCAAGTAGTAGTGCTTTAAAGCAAAGTGTTTGGGCTCGGCTTTGGCACTTGAAGCTTCCTGAGAAAATTAAAATTTTCTTATGGAGGGCATGTAAAGATATACTGCCAACCAGCACAAAACTCAATACTAAAGGGCTCCATTTAGATACCTCTTGCCCGTTATATCTCGCTCCAGTTAATGATATGGATCATACCTTCTTAACTTGTCCTGTAGCGGTGCAAACGTGGGCGCTTAGTTTCTTAAGTCAGAAAATTCAACTGCAATCGGCTGATTAGATTACGTCTTGGCTTCCCAACCAGCTTTTGCGACTATCAAGCAAAGAGATGGAATTGGCGGGGGTTATTCTTTGGAATTTATGGAATAATCGGAATGGAGCAACCTTTGATGGATCCTACAGAGATCCTCTGAGCTTGGTCTCCCTATCCATAGCATTCCTAAATCAATTCCATGAAGCAAACTCCAAAGATAAGTGCCATACACTTGCCTCTCCCCAATCAAGGTTGTCGATAGGTCATTGGATACGACCCAAAGCAGGTTTTGTTAAGGCGAACTTTGATGGAGCTGTGTTTCTGGAGGATAAATCATCAGGGGTTGGTGTCATTATCCGGGATGATAAAGGAAGTTTCATTGCTGGCCTCTCCAAGAAAATTCTTGGGATATTGGAACCAAATGTGGTTGAATCATATGCGGCCAAACATGCTACTCAGCTACTGCAATCTTTGGGTTTCGATAAGATCGTTTTGGAAGGAGATTCACAAAAAGTCATCAAAATGCTAGAGTGTTTGGAATCTGACGATTCATCATGTGGCTTGTTGATTGATGATACCATTGTCTTATGTCAAGATTTCATGTGTTGGAAAGTTTCATGGATTCCTAGGTCGTTTAATGTTCCAGCTCATAACTTTGCCAAGTATGCTATTAATCTTGCAGACTCTTGTATATGGAGAGACTCTCCTCCATCTTTTATTTGTTCTGCACTTGTTGCAGATTCGATCTCCTGATTAATAAAATTATTCTATTTTATTATAAAAAAAAGTAAAAATTAGCCCGTAATTTCATTTGAGAATAAGTGTCAATTTTATTTCATTCTTGTTTTATAACATATAATCACCTATAGGTGAAGCAAATAAGATCATGTAAATCATTTGAATATAGTTGCCGCCTTATACATTTTGATTACGTAGAGATTGAAATGCAAATTAAAAAAAAAAGAAAATATTATGTTAATAAAAAACGTTAATGGAACAAAAAACCTTTAAATCATGTCTCACGTGCAATTAAAAGAGATATAAATATAAATATGCTTAATTGGAGAGGAAAATTTACATAAATTGGATGAAAATTTTAAAACATTTTAATTGGATTGTGATGCAAAGGACATATTTGCGCTCACGAAATTACTCATTTACACTGAAAAAAAAAAGAAGTAAACATTTAAAAAAAACTTTCCCGGTTGGTTTGATTTTTAGCAGGTAATTTCCTTTTCTTTTGAAATTTGCACAAACCGACTTTAATTTGTGTTGTTCTTTTTACTGGATATTTGCACCGGCAGAAATTATCCAATTCTGCGTCGAAGAGAAAACTTAACCGACTAATTAATATTGGAAAATTTGTTAAATTGGTCCCTAATATTTATCAAAACTACTTTTTAGTCCCTAATATATAAAATCATCCAAAATTATCCCTCATATTTAAATTGTGATCCAATTTGGTCATAATGCTCATTTTTGCTCATTTCTCCGGCTAAAAATAACACGTCTCTCTCACGTGATCATATTTTTAGGCGTAAAACTGGAAAACACATTTCATTACCTGATGAAAGTAAAAGGATAGGAGGCCACTTGACTTTATCAACAGGCAAAACATCTCTAGCAGGAAATTGAGAATGGAGCCGACGACGAGGGTGGAGAAAATGAAATCCAATTCATTAAGGCCAAAATTAGGACGAGATGCCATGTCCCCAAGCCGTCACACTCTAGAGCTTTGTCGTCGTCATCATCATCACTAACATTTCCAAGTTATGCTGTTAATTAAGGGATGCAATTTAAGGTTTCTTAACAAAGTCAAGTGGTCCCCTATTCTTTTACTTTCAACCGGTAATGCAATGTGTTTTTCGATTTTGCCCCTAAAAATATGATCACGTGAGAGAGGCGTGCTATTTTTAGCCGGAGAAATGAGCAAAAACGAGCATTAGGACCAAATTGGATTACAATTTAAATGTGAGGGATAATTTTGGCTGATTTTATATATTAGGGACTAAAAAAGTGTTTTAGGTAAATGTTAGGGACCAATTTGACAAATTTCCCATTAATATTTAATGCAGATAAAATCGTCCGCTCTATTTTTCCTTTTCCCTTTACCCTTTTCTCTCCGGTACTGAATCCGGCTACCCGTTTCCATATCGTTCCTTTCTTCTCCGTAAGCCGCCGGTCTCCGTCCCCAAATCCTCTAAACAGTTCTCTCTTCCTTTGCCCTCTTCTTCAACCCCCGTCCCCAAATTTAAGCGCTGCAGTTTCAGTCATCGGATTACTGCTCCTACAATCAGTCTCGGGTCTGCCGCCGTCACTTTGTGTTGCGGGTACTCCACAATTTTCAGCCTTTTTTACTTCTGTTGCCTTGGTTTTTGGCTTTCACAGCTGAAAACTAAGGATCAATTTTAGAGAGTAATGTCTATGTATTGAGATTTATAGTGTTTATAGAATTAGAGTTGGGAAAATGTTGCACGTTATAAGGCGTGATTCAAATCGGAATATGATTGTTATGGATTAAAAGTGTTTTTTTTTCTTTTCGTTCTTTAAAAAAATCATTGCTATTTCGGCGCAAAGCCCCTTCTCCCTCCTCCGTCTGTATTGTTTCTCCAATGCTTTCACCTGTGAATGACTCATGGAAGTGATAGAGTTTATTGACTAGATGATAATTATGTTTGTTGGGTGTATGCTGACTAAATTGGCATATGGGTCTTGTCTCATGAATAGCGCTTTTTGGAAGGTGCGTTTTATGGCCATTAATTTTGTTTTATTTGTTCTTGTGTATCAGATTGGGTACTGTTAGATTGTTGCGGTATTTCGTGGAGAAAAATCTGAGATTGTAATTGCCAAATTGACTCACTGAGACTTGCGGTAGTCTCACTGATTCTAACCATGGTATGTTAACTGTGTATGTTTGATAGTTTTTTATGACAGGCATTCAAGATAAATGTTGCTTATTAGTACCTCTTTTTTTTTTTTTTTTTTTTTTTTTTCATTTTCTTTGGAAGCAGGGGAATGGTGGACCTATTGACCTGGACAAGTCAACCGCAACATTAGACCCTGAAAAAACCACTGGTGGGGGTCTAGTTGCTCCGGGAAAAGATAGAGTAGTATTTAGACCTTCAGAGAGGAAATCACTTTTAGGTAAGTTACCATTTGAGTTGTGGTCAGAGCCTAGTGGCTTTGATTCCTTTCATAATTCACCATGTCTGTTCATGAAATATTGTTGCATTTGCAAATGAAGATTCATTCTCTTGTTCCTTATACCAACTTCATTTTGACCGTTAAAATAGGGTTGGATGTGCTCGCTAATGCTAAAAGATCAGGGTCGGATGTGGATGTTGGATTCAAGATGCCAAGGGAAAGAGTTGCTTCTGTAGTGGCATCTCTAGATGAAGATGAGGAAAGGTCTACTTCCTCAGGGATCGACGAAGGAGAAAATGATGCAAAAGAAGTTCATCGGAATTTAAAAACTAGGCATTATCGTGAATCTTCCACCAGCAAGACATCAAAGAGAGGTGACTCTTCATTGTCTACTTCTGCAATTTAACGCAATTGCTTTTCTTAACCTTTTTTAGTGCAGAAAGAGTTTGAGCTGAACCTTGTAAAATGGACTGAACTTGGGAGAGACAGCAAAATTACATAGGAGAACATGAATTTGTTAGACATCAGAATCATCTTTTGATTTTGTATTCTGTTTTCTGTTTTGTTTCCTTTTTAGTATCTTTTTTAAGATGCTGTCATATAAATTTGCAGAAAGTACTGTAACTGAAGGAGCACATATTCATGACTCATCCTCAAGGCATCATTCAGATGAGTACACTCAGGTATTCATCATTTTAGTTTTGCAGCAACCATGTATTTTGTAAATTGTGAAGTAATTGTGCTTCTTGACTTGGCTTTCCAACTTTCTAGAATAGTTGTCTTACTGGGAATTTCTGTTTTCACTGTAGTAATGCTCTTCTCCTATTAGTCTTCATTTAGATTGCTAATAGTAAAAATTGTTGAACAAGAAAGAAAAACAAATATGCAAGAGAAAAAAAGAGTTCTGAGCATTTAGTTTATAAGGTTAGAGTAGTGAAACTGGATTTAGCAGCTGTAAATTGACAAAATTTTGTTATGTAAATAGATGTCTATTATCAAAATAGGGAACTCATTTGTTTGTTTTCTATACAAAGTAAATAAATGCTTGACTGATGCATGTGGTGAATTTTCAATATGAAGTTGGTGACAAGGGGAAGAAAGTATTAAGAAGAGAATCTATAAAGCACACAGGACCTTAGTATTTTGAGAACAGCGAAAACTTCCATGGTCTATCATACTTGCTTTGCTGTTCTAGCGTGAGCTTTTGTTGTGTAAAAACCGAAGAGGTCATTTTTTTTTTTCAATAAATTTGTTTATCTTATCTTGCTTGTCTTAGAGTTGGCTTTAGAGTGTTGTGAATATTTGAGAAAGTTGTTGGAGGTTTAGATATTTAGAGGGATTCTAGATTTCTTGACATATGAAATAGAGATCCAAATTGAAAATTGAAAGGGCTGTTGAGAGAATAGTACTCTGCTAGGATGGAGAATTCATGTCAAATTCAAATTTGACTTCTTTATTGCTGATATGTTTCTATTTGGAGGTACATAACTTCTAATGTGGCTTCCTGGCTCATTCGTTAAAGCTTATTATGTTCATATCAGTCAACTGTTCATGAATTCTTTGGCGTATTGGATTCTTATAGGTTTACAATGGAGCTATCACTTTTCTTTAGAATTAGCAACCTGGTGATATAGATGTTTCCTTCGTTGTTATTAGCTATACACGAAACTTTAGTTGCATGACCTTAGACTCATCTGAGCTGTAACATTGTCATGTCATTGAATCCTTTTTGCTGGCTCTTGTGCATCCCTGAGCTGAGTTTGTGACAAAATGTGAAGTGCAGTATGCCAGTCTATGCCTTCTATCTGCATACTTTCTCTCTCTCTCGTGCAGTTTAGAAGATACATTCTGACATCTTGGGGACATGGGATATTTGAAAAAAA